CTGAGCTTCATTCCAAGTCAAAGGTTCACTGAAGAAGTGGTAATGGCGAGTGAAACTGGTGAAGAGGCTGAAGCAATCTGAAAAAAAAAAAAAAAACATTTGTAAATGTTTTGTTGAGGTTGATTCACAGTCCGTTAATTTAATGCAAATTATAAACAACAAAACTCACTGACTTGATAGAAGCATTACTCTCAGCAATATCCTTTCCATTATGGTTCCTCCCTGCAGACCTGTAAAGGAAAGATCTACAGTAATGAACACAGACTGTGGTATGCTGAGTAGCCTGTTGAAACTCACCAAGGCTTTAGGCTTTTTATGCAAAATGTGTGACCAATGGAAGTCTGCATAAAAATATTACTGTCAAACTCATAAAAAAGATTTGCCTACATGCAGCTCTGCAGTGTTTCCATGTCTCACATACGTACATTCTTATGAGATAGCAAGCACAGTTACTGTACTTGAAATCCAAAAGATTATAGTCAGAGTGGTTCAGGCTGTCTTGAGCTATCTCTATAGATATGCTGCTATAGGCTTAGAGTGCTGGAGCACATATACTGAAAACAGGGAGACTGAGCTGAATTAATAGTAACAAAATAAATACTAGTAACCTTTACATGAAAAAGTTAACTGTGTGCAGTTTGGTATGTTATTATATTTATTTAATCAAAAATTAAATATTTGTCAATTGTATTTTACTCATTTTTGTTTGAATAATATCAACTCAGAATCACTGAGTAGAATTTAATCATATTTTATCATTAAATTCAACAATGACAAAAAATAAATAAACTCTACTCAATGGAAATTCTTTATTTTTAAACCATCTTCCGGCATTGGACTGTTCCAGATGAGGGTTGATTCTTAATTAAGTTGAATAGTCAAATTTTTTGTGCATGCCCTAGTGTACAACGGGTGAAAATAGTTTTTGTGAGATGCTCTGTCATATTAAGCTCCTAATAATCTCCAGAAATCACAGGGGAGGTTTAGCCTAAAAAGATGACTTCCAGTTCTAGCTTCCTATTCGGGAAAAGAATACCCTACCTTCAGCATCTTTAATCTACTCTAATTACAAGCTATATCACCTAGACACACCTTTCTCTGATTTGTGAAACTTCAATAAAGGCAGATTTAACACTTTTGTCCATGTCACACTACATTTAGTCTGGCTCTAAAACTACAACACCTCGACACATCTATCTTGTACTAGATTATTCTAAACTACTTGTAGAATAATTAAAACCAGGTTTAGGATTTGTGAAACCTTTCTCTGATTTGTGAAACCTAAATAAAGGATGCAATTAATTGATGCATGTGCTTAGCGGGATTAGAACCAGCGGTTTTCTCCTTTTTCTTTTTTTCTCTTCTTCTCTTTCTCTCCTCCTTCCTCCCCTCCTCTCCAGAATATTGTTCCCCAGCATTGTCTTTGGGGTAGAGAACCCCTATTTTCCAAGTTTTTGGCGTTGTTCAAATTCCTACCATCTGCCACCTTTGATTGAAGTAGCAGGTTTCATGTTTCCACAAACCAAATGACTACATAAGGGGCTTAAGACCTGAAATAAAAACATTTTAACATGGTGCAACATGTACCATGTGTTTATCCCAAACATGTTGTCATATTTTTATCTCAGTTTTTTTTTTATTTTTTACAAATCATAAAATTATTTGATAAACGGGTATAATATTCTAAGTACATTAAACATTTGTTGTAACAGTAGCATCTTACTACTCAAATAACTGTAAGCAAAAGTCTGCTTGCTATGCATATTCACCACACATACAAGTGTCATGGTTTTGGTTCTGTTTAAGTTTTATCTTTGAGTTTCCAGTGGTTTTATTTACATTTTGTGTTCTAGTTATTATTGACTGTATTTTAATTCTTGTTTTTTTTCTTGTTTGCCCTCTCGTATCAGTCTCCTGTTCCCTAGTTCCCTTCAAGACCCCTTTGTCCACACCTGCTCCCAATATGCTGAGTAGCCCAACTAAATTTGAATATACAACCAACAGCATATCTTGTCATAAAAAATTGAAACAGGGAAGCTTTGTCCACCTTTGTTTGTCCAAAGGTGACAAATCTACCTCACCTACCAGCTCAACATTTGTCCAGTGGTAAACGTTCTGGGCTCATAGCTAGTCCTCTATTTAGACAGGAAGTGTTTCATAAGACTGGTCTCCCAAACAGCACTTAAAGTATCAATGATAGTGTTTTCTTTAAGCCTAAGCCTCCTAGTGTTAAAAACTGCTCCATCACTATTTAGAATATTAAATAGTGTACGGGTTGTTTCTTTTTTGTTTTGTTTTCCTAAGAATCCTAACATAATCATAACCAGAGACATTGTCATCCGGTGTCTGATGTTGTACCTTGGGGAATCTACCCATCAGCTCTTTAAAAAGTATGATGTCAGTTGAAATGCATGTCAAGTATTAATGTGGTTTCTTGTGCAATTCCCCACTTGAAAAGGATAGTCCTCTACATTCCAACTGGATTTCACTCAATGAACAGCCATTTGATAGTCATTTCATTATTTATTTATTGAAAATTGGCAGTAGGCAGTGGGCAGGTGAAAAACCTCAAAAAGAGAAGGTAACACAAAACAATTAGTCATNTGAAATAAAGCTTGCCCAAGCTTCAACAACAGCTCAAAACATTTACTGTAGCAAAGAGTAGCATACAGTCCATCCTGTTAGCTTTGTCTTTACTTATCAGTAAACACATGAAATGATAAACATTATCAAACGACATATTGTTTGTTCTGTCCCTAATTGTGACAGACCTGCAAACCTTTTTGTCCATGTCTATTTAGAAGGCTCGGGGTTTCACCCAGCAGGAGCTCAGCAGTCAGGCTAAAAACAACCAGGAGGTCCTTTGTCTCAGGCTCACACCAGTGGTCCTTCTCATCCAATCTGGTAAGGGGCAGAGGTCCTACAGCTGGTTGTGAGCCAAACTTGTATCCTCTTCTCTGGTCATCATGTCAAGAGGAAATATGGACACTGGTTCCCAATGTCCAAAAACCATGATCATGGCATATGGCACAAAAATCTTGTCTTCCATTTTAGATGTGATTTATCTTTCCCTGTTACAGGGATATGTACCAAAGGCTTTTAAGGTTGCTGTAAATAAACCTTTACTCTCTCTTGACCCCGATGATTTGGTCAATTATAGACTGTTGTAAGAGTTTACTAGAATATTATGAATGAACATAATAAACAACTAGAACTGGAAGTTATAGTTAAGTAATAGTTCTATAACTCATTCAAATCAAGGGTCGGCTTTCCCCGTCTTCAGTCCAGTCTGTTCGTCCAATAGCAGCTTACAAAAACATTTGAGATCAATTTGATGCAATGATAAGAGGCAACACTGCAAGGGGGTTATTTTATAACTCACGGTAGCCGAGACCTCTCCCTTTTTTGCTACCGTGGTTAGCTTGTAGCCGCAGCTTCCAGCAGTACCTCCTCGGTGCTGCTCCGTCTCTCCTTATCAGACACTCACGGCCTGGCAACTTCTAACGGCTCATCGGTTAACAGCAATTGGGGGCCCCGTTGTTCGGCGGTTAGGTTCATGTTAGAAGAGCTGAATCAGCTCTTCTCTGTCTCTGCTGCATCAGGCTTCAGGGGACTTTTTCTAAAAATTGCTTTAAATGAGTCCTACCTATCATTATCCATGCTGGGTCAGATCCTGACATTTGAAAAAGAAAGCAGGCAGTCAAGGTAGCAGAATAAAGTGCTAGCCTCACTCCATGCAGTTAGCCAAGCCTTGTAGCTAAACTAGGTCCTGGAGAAAGACCAAGTGTACTATCTCCATCTGTCTTTGGACTGCTGATTAATTTTAATTTTCGGCTGATCAGGTCCAATCGATCTCACCTCCAGCTTCTCTTGGTACGTTTTTTAAGTAATTTCACATCCGTGACTCGGTATGTCAACCACCCACACTACAACTGTGACGACAGTTCATGCCACCTCAGGGTAAACCAGAACTGCTGTAACGCCACAATTTACCCATTGTGGGGCAATAAAGGAACGAGAGAGATGACTGTTTGATTTTTTTTATTTGCAAGAACTTTTTTAAAACAAGAA